AAAAAACTAATTAAATGAGCCACTTGTATTTCTTTCTGTTTTTTTTTTTTTTTTTTTCATTTCCCACCCCCAACAAAAATGGTTGCAGGAAGCTGATTTATCAAGAAGTCTCTTAGAGAAAAAACAAGAAGAATTAGATCATATGGAAGAAAACCTTCGTGGGAGAGAAAGGGTAAGTTGATATGCAACCCGCACTTGTAGGTATTGTACCAAAATATGTCTTGTTTGCATGGATGCAGGTATAGTCTAAAAGTGATTGAGTAGGAGAAGAAAAAGAAAAATTGAAATAGTTTTCTCTGGTAACAGACTAGAAGTTTTACTCTTAAGTCATAGGGTTTGTGATGACTGTTTTCTTGAAATTTTATTACTTGTAGCATGATTCATGTTATTTCATTGTGATGCATTTGTGCTTATCATGATGGCTGAGGTTCGTTGATATGATATTGATAAATGAGGATAAGATGCGTGGGTGATGCTTATCCTGGCATTATTTTCTCTCTTGATTCTTATATATCTCCTTTGTTTAATAGATTGTTTTTGCGCATATTATTTCCTGTTCAAATTTTTATTCAAGGTTGATCATTGATGTTTAGTGCCATGCTATTGAAGTGTCAGCACCATACAAAAAAAGAATACTTTCGAGTATTGGAAGAAAGATATGGTAAATGAATCTCGTAGAATAATGTAATATAGTTCTTTATGTGTCTTATATTTGTCTTCTTGATGTTCTTTTCAGATGGAAACCCAGCAGCTGCTTCATGAACAAAGTGCTATTCTACAGAAGAAGAGAGAAGAGTTTGAGTTGCAGTTGGAAGAAAAAAGGAAGTCTGTGGAAAATGAAGGTAGTATCAGGTTAGGAGCAATCAAAAGGAAAGATATTGAAATTAATCATAAGAAAGAAAAGTTAGTGAAGCAAGAACAAGCTTTGGATAAAAAGTTGCATAGAACAAAGGAGAAAGAGGGTGATCTTGAACGAAAGTTAAAAGCTTTGAAGGCAAAAGATAAGACTTTGAAAGCTGATGAGAGAAAGCACGAGGTGGAAAGGTTGCAAATGCTAGCTGATAGAGATAGCTTACAGTCTCTCATTGATAAGATTGAGAAAATCAGGACTGCAAGTACTCAGAAGGAGTGGCAATTTCACGAGGAGAGGGAGAAATTGCAGGTGATAAAAGAAGAGAGATCAGAGCATGTTCGTTTACAATGTCAATTGATGCAGGAAATTGAGAGTTACAGACTTCAGAACAAAATAGTTACGAAAGAACATGATGATCTGAAGCAGGAAAGGGTCAAGTTTGAGAGAGATTGGGAAGCCTTAGATGAGAAAAGGACTGAAATACATAATGGACTTGGAGATCTTGAGGAGGAGAGGAAGAAATTAGAGATCTTAAGGACAGAGGAGGAAAGGTTGAGAAATGAGAAAACTGAGATGCTAATTTATATGCAGAGGGAGTTGGATAATGTCAAACAAGAAAAAGAATTATTTGCCTCAACTACAAGGCATGAGCAGCAAGCCTTGTCTCAGCAGGCCCAAAATAAGCATAACCAATTACTTCAAGATATAGAGTTGCAGAGAAAAGATCTTGAGAGTCACTTGCAGAAGAGCCAGGAGGAACTAGAGAAAAGACGGCAGGAAAGGGAACTAGCATTTGAAGAGGAGAGAAAGAGAGAACGAAATGAAATTTTTTACTTGAAAAACATTGCTCAGAAAGAAAAGGAAGAGTTATCATCTGAGAGGCATCAATTGGAAAAGGAAAAGGAGGTTGTTACCATGAATAGGAAGGAATTGATAGCAGACCATCTTGAAATTCGTCAAGATATAGACAAACTCAACGTATTAAGTAAGGAGCTGAAATGTCAGAGAGAACAGCTTATTCAAGATAGGATTTGCTTTTTGGCTTTTGTTGATAAGCTTAAGAGTTGTGAGAATTGTGGTGTCTCCATTAAGGAATTTATGGTTCCTGACCTCCAAATGCCTGCAGACATCAGAGAACCGGACCCTCTAGCAAATCTAGATGTAGAATCTTTAAAACTTTTCCAGGAAGAATTAGCTGCTTCCGAGTTTGATTCAGACTCTGGAGGCCGCATGTCTTGGCTCAGAAGATGCAGCAGAAAGATTTTGAATCTGTCTCCTATCAAGAGAATTGGACAAGTAGTTCCTCCCGTTTCCATGAAGTTGGCTGCAGATTGTACTGATTTAGAAGCTAAGGAGCCTAGCGTTAGTGCTGGCGATGTGAAAAGATTTTCATTTAGAGATAACATCAGAGTGGCTGAAGATAGACATGCGCACACATTTGATGATTTTGGCAACGTAGACAGCAAGTTTGAAGAAGCTTCAGAAGGTTCCAAACAACCTGACCTAAAGAGAGAGAAGCAGAAACGTGAGAAAGGACTCAATTCCAGGCATAGAACACACTCGATGAAAGCGACTGTTCAAGATGCAAAATTGTTTCTTGGAGAAACTGTGGGACAATCGGATCTTAATGTACTTGTACAGAAAAGTGATTCAAAATTTTCAAATAAAGAAACTATCAATGTTAGGAAACGGCCACGGGTAGAATCCTCCACAATTTCTGTTAGTGAGCAGGATGGAGATGATAGTGAGCGATGTTCTGAGAGCATCACAACAGGTAGGCAACGTAAAAGGCAGCAAAAGATTGCTTCGGTGCAGGCACAAGGAGAAAGCCGATATAATCTGAGGCGACCCAAAATGTTAGTTTCCCATGACTGAATTTTGCCGACTCTATTTAGTCATGTGTTGTTTGATATAAGTATATTGCATGAAAAAACTTTGCAGTTAAGGTGTGTGTTACTTACATATTCATTGTGACCTCTTTCTTCAACGACCCCACTTTTTGTCTTCTCAATTTGTGACTCTACATCCCTTGATCAATAGGAAATTAATTTTGAGTTATTAAATTTATTTCCTGTTAATTGCATATCTTTTAAGAAGAAAGTTCTTTTGCTGTGCATTTGCTTTTCTTATCATTGACATCTAGCAATGCTTCCTGTTAATTTCATGCTGTTAACTTGGTCCTTGATCACTACATAAATAAAGAGATGTCAACATACGAACTTGAGTAATAGTCTAGAGAGGCGGAAACTGAAGCTTCTGGGATTAACTCTGCTTGAATACTCCAAATTTAGAAATTAAGAACTCTCCCCCTACGTCCTTGCCTTCACATCTTTGCTTATTCCCAATTCAAATTCCTCCCGTGTCCGACTTCAGTTGAGCCTTTTGTTTTGCTTTGTATGATTTTCCCCGTCTTGTATGCAGGCATGCGTTCATGCATATCTTGCATTGTAACCCAAACCTGTTTGTGTTTACAATGGGTTTTGATTGAATAGTGAATTTGAATTGATCTTGCTCTGACTCGAATTATTTTTGGTGGGACAGGCAAGTATAATGTAACATAGGGTACTGATCCAACATTTCTCTTTTCGAATCTGATATGGATAGCTTCACCTGAATAATGTGCCTGCTGATTCAACATCTTTTTGCAATGTAAAATTCATAATGAAAGCTTATTTAGGATGCTTACTTTGATGTTCTGTTCTATCCCCTTGTATAAGTGCTTTCATGTGCGTTTCTTGGTCAAGTACTTGGGCGTTCAATAAGGCACTCGGGGGCATTTTGATTTCTTTTTCTTTTTCATCTGTACTTTTATTTTACTCCCGTACATGATAGATTTGAGTACAAAATGCATTTGGCCACATCAGAATCTATTTACCGATCGCTTCTACCTCTATATGCTGCACCTTAATCTAGGAAGTTTTGTGCAGTGGTGGCACAGCTAGTGCAACTGAGGTTTCAGGAAACCTGACAACAGGTATGGAGAAAGAAAAGGATGCAACCATGACAGCGAAAGTGGAACCAAGTGGGGAAGCTTTTGTTACCTCTTCGTTGAGAAGTGTTGATGGTGAGAACATAAAAAAAGCAGACTATGTGCAGCTTACAACAGTCAGAACCATCTATAGATCGGAGGATAGAGTAGTTCAGGTAAAAAATTTTGTTTGCTATTTGATTTACAAGATTTTCTTGTTCGTAGTTATTTTGAATTATTTCTGGGGTGATTATTATACAGTTTGAATCGCTGAGAAATCCTGAAGATAATGCTTCTATGGAGAAGTTGGTTGCTATGGATGATTTGTGCGATGAAGTGAATGATACGTCGGAATATGAAGATGAAGATGGAAACATAATCGATGACGTAGAAGACGAGTACGATGAAGAGCAGCCTGATGCAAAATCGATTGGAAAGAAGATCTGGACCTTCTTCACAACTTGAGAAGACGGCTTTCATTCCCAAACTTGTCAATATTATCATTTGCGGAACTTTTAGCATTCAACTTAAGAGTAGTAGCATTTTGAGCTCTTCTACTGCCGCTATTTTGGATTTTGATTTTACCTCCCAATCGTTACTTGTAATCTTTACTTTTTAAGGTAGTCACCGAGCAAGCCCTTTTTATGGGGGAAAGGGAGGATGTCAACTTCCTCCGGTTCACTTTTACACTAAATTCTCAATTCATCAAATTTTACTTATTAATGAAAAGTAAGTCAATTTTCTATTATGGTTTTATTCTTATTTTTTACTAATTATGTCAAATCTTTATTTTGTGAACTCACATAATTTTGATTTGGGTCGAAGATATGTGATGTATTTTCCAATTTTGATTTGGCATCTCCCTTCGACCCGTCTCAGTTTCAATCTGTTTTTCGATAGCGACAAATTTGACTTCCTCATTTATCACAAATGCAATTCTCGTACTCAGATTTGAGGGCGGGAGTTGTTGGGTTGAGAGTTTTTTTATGCAACCAAAAGATCAGGTTGGTTAGATTGGTAATTCAACCCGAAAATTTTCCTAACCCAATCCTCTATTTTCGAGTTTACCAAACCCATAGATACCTCTTGCGTATAATTACTATTATTTTTATTTAATTCGGGTTCACCCCGAGTTTTTACCTGAAACTGAACCGATTCCTGATTGTTTAGTTATTTATTCCCGACTGGATTGAACAGACCGGTGGAAGTACGGTTTCTGTAGAACTTGGGGGAGCATCTCAATTCTCGTGTTTGTTTTCACTTCATTACAGACGGCCCACCGCCGCCTTTGGGGTCTCTGAGCGACCGATTCCATAAAATAGCAGCGGCTGCGGATACTGGGGACATGGACGATTGGAGGAAGTTTAAGAAGGCGGGGTTGTTGGACGCGGCTGCAATGGAGCGCAAGGATTGGGAGGCGCTTCTTGAGAAGGCTTCAAGGCTTCAGAGCGAGGTTAGCAATTATCATAAATTCTTACTTGTTTTCTATCTTTGGATTAATTGGGGTTGAACTGTAACGTTATGGCATATGCATTTATGTGATACACTGGACTACAAGTTTGGGCCCTGGTAAAAGCTAGTTTCTATTGTTACTTAGGTTGGTTCACGTTTAGCAAATAAGAGAAGAAATCAAGCCTAGCACAAATTTAACCCTGGTTAATGCACAATATCAAGAAAAACCATTGAATATGCCTTTCAAAACTCACAAATTCATGTTGCAACAGTCAATTAATGCCAAACTCATCCACTAATTTTAATGAATAGTATGGTAAAAATCTCTCCAAATTTAATAATTCAACAAAAATCAAGCCTAGCATAAATTTAAGCCCGCTAATGCACAAGATCGATAAAAACTCACAACTTCAACAAACACAGCTCTAGTATTGTTTTTCTTTGAAGGGCTTCATTAATTTTATAGTAGACTTACGTTTTATATTTATTAAATGTACATAAGAATATTTTCATTGAAAATTTTTAAATTCTATCATAGGGAAAGACTTTCAATGCTTATTTAAGGTTAAGATAGCGATGTTTATCAAAAGTTTGAGGTGCATTTTGATGAAATTAAAAGTTCAGGGTATAAATTGTTTGTTTCCCCTAAAATTTTAAAATAGTTTTGGCAAATTTAGGCAATCATGGGGTGAAATATTGAATTCCAATGTATAGAAAAATAGGTGCTCTTGTGATTTTTTTGAGCAATTATACTTATGTTGGTAGGTTTAATCAGGTTGGAACCTCATGCCTAGGAAGCTGAAATACTGTTTCCATTTAGATGAAGAGAGAAAAAATGTTTTTTTTGCCTTTTTTTTTTGTCTTTTTAATGTAATAGATGTATGCATTATAATGTTGTAGTGTTTAGCACAATCATCCTACAAGATGGGAATAAATGACTTCATTGTTTGTCATTCTTTTGGTATCGTTCCTGTCATCAGAACTTATATTGCTCTTACATGGATTTATCTGATTATTATTTTTGGCAGCTTTTTGATTACCAGCACAATATGGGACTTATTTTGCTAGAGAAGGAAGCGTGTGCTTCAAAGTGTGACCAACTAGAACAAGGTTTAGCAGAAACGGTGGAAATCTTCAAACGTGAACGATCAGCACATTTCATTGCATTATCTGAAGTTGAAACGAGGAGGGATACTTTGAAGAAAGCTCTAGCTGCTGAGAAGCAACATGTGTCTAGTGTATGCTACTCTTGGCACATCCATTCCCCATTAACGTATTTCTTATTTGATAATGTTGCCATTTTCCTTTCTTTTTTGTATTCTTAGATACTCAATTTGTTAGGCCACCAATCGTAAATGTGTACTAGAGAAACATGTAAGTGGTGGGGGGAGTTAACTTTCGTCAGCCCTACTGGTAATTGGGTGAGGTGACATAGGAGAAGTTGTAACAGAGAGAGTAATATGAGGGTAGTATCTATTCTTAAGGAGTATGTATTTGTTTAGAAGAGTCTTGTAGTATGGGAGAGAGAGGATCTTATTTTGAAATTTGGACACTAAATTGTGAAGTTATGTCTATAGAAATAGATCTTAGATCTTAAAGATTGATTAAATACTTAAAGATATCTCGCTTTGAAGTTTTTTAGGGCTATGTGATAGGTCATTGTTCTATTTTGTAGGGAGGGCAATATATATTCACAATATCTAGCCATTAGCAGCATGGATTTGTTTTCACTATTTTGCCAAGATAATATAAGGATGTTTATTAGCAGCTGGCCCCATTCTTTATTTATTATCTTTTCATACCTATTCTTGGTGCAGCTTAAAAAGGCTTTATGTGAAGCAAAGGAGGAGTGTGCAGAAATCGAACTTACTTCTCAGAAAAAGTTGGCTGATGCAAATGCTTTGATATATGAAATTGCGGAGAAATCTTTGGAGTTGGAGAAAAAATTGTATGCTGCTGAAGCGAAGCTTGCTGAGGTAAATAGGAAGAGTTCAGAGTTGGAAATGAGGATGCATAAAGTCGAAAGCAGACCGAGCAAATATCCTTCGTCATAAGGTATTCTTCTCAATATCCTTTTCTTTGAGCATATGACCCATCAATCTTTGATATGTACGGATTTGGGAGAAATGCTTCTGTTTGAATAATCTTCCTGATTTCAAGTAGAAAAGTGGTAGGCTAAATTTAGGCAGAAGAGACCTGACCCTTATCCAATTTGAGGGGTCAATATTGGTGAAGTGACCTTGGAAGTTTTCCCTGGTAGCAGACTAGAAGTTTATGATGGCTGTTTCTTGAAATTTTATTACTTGTAGCATGTTTCATGGTATCCTGAAGTTTGTTGATGTGATATTGATAAATTGATGCTTATCCTCGCGTTATTTTCTCTCTTGATTCTCATGTATCTTTCTTTGTTTAATAGATTATTTCCTGTTCAAATTTTTATTCAAGGTTGATCATTGATGTTTCAGTGTCACGCTACTAAAGTGTAATATAGTTCTTTATGTGTCGTATATTTGTCCTCTTGATGTTCCTTTCAGATGGAAACCCAGCTTCATGAACAAATTCTCACGAATTGGTTTCTATTCGTCAGGGTAAGGTTTCGAGCTCAGGGGGAGGAAGGGAAAGTTTGAAGGTGAAGAAAGGCGAGATATAGTCTCATATATATCTCTCCTCGGCTCCTCGGGCTTGGTTTGAGATATGAAGAAGTTTGATTATGACATAGATGGGTTCTCCTAACGAGATACATTCAGGGCAATTGAAATTTTGAATGTGAATCGAGCATCAAACCACATGCATCTCACTTCTCCCCTTCTAACTTTGAATTCTGAACTTATTTTTAGACCTTATTTTGGATGTGGAAAAATGCTTAAAAAGAAAAAATTAAAAAATTCAATCCAGGGGTAAAATGGTCATATTGTCTCCGTGCGTACTTAGGAGGCTGGATAAACCCCAATCACTAGGTCTCAGACTCTCCACGCGTTCCCCATTCTGTCCATAACCCGTTTCGTGTTTTGGGCAAACATAGGCCACAACAGCCACTGCTTCGATTCTCTCCTGTTCCTGCAACCACCACAGACAACGACGCCCTTCGCCACTTTCTATCTTCCACACCTTTCATTCTTCCTCCGGATTCCTTCTCCCTTCTCTCCTGGCAACGGCAACCACGCCAATCCGCTCTTCTTCCGGATACGACGTTAGCTTCTCTTCTGCCCTTTAATTTTCTTTTTCTTTACCCAATCCTGTTATTATAGTTTTCAAAACACGAATGGCGACGTTCAGAAGGGCTTTAGTCAAAGCTCATGAAGTTCTGTACCTGAAACCCTCCTCCACCGTTTTCAGAAGCAAATCGATGCCCCTTTTGCCTAGCGCTTATATATTGTTGGAGAATCTACAAGGGCGATTACCAAATCACAATCAGAATCAACATGGTTGTTTCTTTAGTTTTCGTTGCTCTTCCACGAGTGTAAATCCTTTGTTCACAGATATCGATCTCTCAAATGAAGAGAGCAAGAGGCGTTTGTTCAATAGGTTCAGTCTCACTTCCTTTGCATCATTAACTTTCATACCCCCCTTGCTTTCTTTCTCTTAATTTTTGGCAATTTTGTTTCGATTGACAAGGTTTTTCGGTTGTTGGATTCTACAGGTTGCTGTACCGGAGCAAACAACGGGGGTTTTTGGAATTGGATTTGGTACTTGGAAAATGGGTAGAAGATCACATCAATTCCTTGGATGCAGATGGTATTAGTGCTCTAATTAAAGTTCTTGACCTGGTAATCTAGTCTTATGCCCATATTTTTTAGTGATTTTCTATGTTTTGTGTTCTAGCCCTAGTTAGTTTTAATCCATAGCTGGGTGGAGGCCGGCCTTAGTGCCACATGGAATGTTTCATCTTTTTTCGTCATGTATTTGCCCAAATTTTGCACCACGATTTTCTATGTCACCTTCTCATCAATGAGGGCAGATTGATAGTGATGGTGCTGGTCAATCTTCATCCCATTCTTATCCCTCCTCGTGTGGCGGCATTCCGAGCTTGAATGTAGCTCTGAGAAATGAGACAAGAAAGAAAACAATAACGAATCCACTTTTGTTATTATGGAGTTGATTTGCACCTGCATAAAAATTTCAGGCCAAGACAAGTTCAAGGTTTTTATGAGCCACATTTGGACACAATTGTTCAAACGATGAGTCACTGAACGGTAGAAAAGCACAGCATATGATGCAAACATGCAAAAAACCGGAGGAGGATGTGTTGTGGCATATCTTTACCGCTGAAAAGATGATGACATGGGCACGTTGGGTTTCTCAAGCCAAATTTTTGTATAACATGGGAGGGTACTAGTGAGGAATATATTGGAAATATTAGTAAGATAATAGTAAGGGGTTAAGTGGTAATTAGTTGGATGAAGGGGGGTTTGGGTTATAAATAAAGAGGACTCGAAGTTTCTGGGAGGGTAAATCATTTTGGGGAGTGTCCATTTTGGGACTTGGGAAAGAGACAGCCCTCTGAAATATTTTCATTGATATTGCAACATAGTTATAGTTATATATCTATTTTCTTTTGTGATCTTGTGTTCAGGTACCTAATGAATTGGTATTAGAGCACGTTCATCTTGGAGTTGAAAAATATGACTAAAAAGGGATTAGAAGAGAGGGTGGAAGCTACTGGAAGGACATTGCCGAGCTTAAAGGCATGCTGCAAACAATGGCTCAAAGGACTGAGTAGTTTGCAATGGAAATACATGAGAATTCAAGTTCGACATGGGTGTTTGTGGTGATTATGTCGAGCCCCACAAAAGTAGTAAATGCTAGAGGAATGATGAATTTAAAATCTCTATAGTACCGGAGGGAAGGGAATCTATTAAGACAAGAAGTTATTGGTGGAATCGGAGATGATGGGGAATTCATGAGGCAGATGAAGAAGAAGCCTAGTGTAACACTTGAGTAAAGGAGGGGTATTGAGTAAAGGAGGGGTATGAATGACTGATACCACATCCAAAGGAGAACAATCTTGAGAATAGGATGGTTAAGAAAAGGTTAAAAAACTGATAGTAACTTCATAATTAAGCGTGGTTTGCTTAGAGCAATTCTATATTGGGTGATCTACTAGGACTTTTCGTATATGTAAGTGAGGACAAAACATGTTGGAAGGACTTTTGTTAGTTTGTGGGGATAGCCTTCACTTTTGAGGAGTAAGTAACATGACCATGTCATAGAGGATCTAAGGGTACTAGAGCCAAAATGTGCCAAATCCGGATTCCAAATCTTAATCCATATGAAAAGTGGAGAGAAGAAGTGACAAGGATAGAATCTAAAGAGTTTGGCAAGTTTATGGAGTAAGAAGGTAGGCGATCAAGAAGCAATGGAGGAAAGAAGAAAGATATAGCCGATGAGAAGGTGAGGTGGGTAACAGATGAAGAAACGATGAAGTAAGGACTTGTTAGTGGTAACCGGTGGTGGAAGAAGCAGAAGGACAAAAGATTTGCAAATAATTAAAAAAAATGAACAACCTTAACGACTCGACTCGACCCAACCAAAAATAGAGGGTTGGATTAGATTGCGAAGTTTGGATCCATTCGGGTCATCACTTTTGGGTTGGTCCAATAATTTTTCCCAACCCAACCTTACCTATGCAGACTCCTACTCATTTCTATCCCCTTGGCCAGCTATTCTAGGGCCTTCATGGCACTAGTCCACTAACTATTAAAATCAAGGGTAACCGCCAATGCCTGGTGACAAAGGGAATGGTGGAGGAGATAGTTTCAATAAGTGTGAAAGTTACAACAATGGGTAGTAAAATAGTTAGTGGGGAAGGGTTTGAGTTTAGTGTTCCTTACCACCAAAATAGGTGATTTCAGTTCAGTCCATCTGCGGAAACTTGGTATTTGTGATTTCAGTTCCTCATTTTTTTTCTTTTAAATCTATTATAAATGATTTTGAGGACTACTTTTTTGGATACTGCTTATTTCTTTTGCAAGTTTCTGTATATGTGTTCTTCTGATGTTCAGGAAAATCCAGATCTATGGAAGTGGTTAACTGGCCAAGAGCAACCCCCTAAAGCCGTGAAGACAAATCCTGTGAGCATCCAAATTAGTGTTTCCCTTTTTATGTTTGGACTAAAAAATATGTGATCTTAGAATTAGAGCATCTATTTGTAGGTATTTACTGATGTGCAAGAGAAGGTGATGAACAATCTCAACAAACATGCCTCACCCGAGACACGAACACCGCCTGGGCAACAATGGGTAAGGGGTTGGGATGATTTCAAGAGAGGTCGGGATGGCCCCATAACAGGAAACCAGTAGTTCTGTCTTCCATTAAAGAATTTTATGTTATAATTAAGTACTAAAGTTTCTCAAACTTGTTTGTTACGAATGGTGGGCTGTGAATAAGTTTCCCATCAAGTCTGTCCCCTCTAAACCCTTGGGATCTATAGTGAAATAATGGCTGTTTTTTTCTTTCACATACATTCACCAAATAATATCATTTCCAAGTGCTTGACACCATGGCTAGCTTGCGTTTCTTTATAGTTTGTACTTGATGTAATAAGCTTTGTATTAATTTTATAGTTTGCATTGGTGTTACCACCTCCAATGCTCTACCCCATAAACCATCCACCATCAATAGTATAAGTATGAGTATAAAATATTCGATAAGTAGTCTACTAAATAGTCTATCTCTAATTTTTCAAGATTTCTAGAACCTTCTAGTTAGGTTCTATAGTTCTCCAGATAGTGGACAAATTATTTGATGAATGGATCATGTGTGGAAGAAGAAAAAGAAAAAGAAAGAAATTTATTACTAATTAATTTAAGGGTTAGCTTTCAATTAATTGAGGAGGTTAGTGATAGTCCAAGTTTGGCTTCGGGTTCAAACTTTTATTGTGCATTTCTTCAATTTTGGTCGGTTGATTAGATTATTATTCATACAATCATCTTTTTTCTAATACCATTTAATACCTATTATGAAATTCTTAAATTGATTTGATTTAAATTATCTAAAAATCCCAAAATCGACAAAAAAAAAAAAAACAAAAATTATGGAAAGAGTTACAAAAAGTTTTCCTTCATGATCAATATCAATGATAAAAGAAAAATCATTTTTAAACTTGCGATTCAAATCATTCTACAAAATAGCTTAATCAAAGCTACTGGAAAGATTCTAACACGTAAATATAAATCCAAGAAATACAAATAATAGTAATAGTAATAATAATAATAAATAAATAAATAAACTTATAGCTTGAAAATGCATGATATGCAACTTTCTTTTTAATCTCCAAAATCTTTTAAATGAAGCAATAACATGAATGACTATTTATAATCTTGAAAATAAACCTAAAACACTTAAAGATCAATTGAAAGGTTGTAACTCTCATATCCTTTAATGACAACGAACTATTGACTCTAAAATTAAAAAATACATTGAAAACTCCCTAAATCCAAATATGTATGATAGAATCTTATCATCTATTATGAAGTCTTTGTGACATGATTAAGACACCTTATTTCTTATTAATACCATATTCATAAAATCATCATCAATATTTATTCCATTAATTCACTAAGAATTGAACCAGTCATGATATTAAACGTTATGTTTCATGGAATGTGATAGTCATACATTAAAAATTAATAAACCATTAACAGTAATTTGTGTGATACTATAAGTACATTACATTGTTGATCCATGATTTAGCTTTGCACAATTTATTAATCATCAAGTAAAAATTTATTAGTGCGCGTCTTTTTTAAATAGAAATCAATTATACTACTGCATTGTGCTTAAGGTATTCTTAATAAAAAAAAAATGTGTGTTCTATGAATGTTTCATCCTATTTCAGTTATTT